CAAATAATTATTTCGACAATTTGTCGAAATTGGTTTTCTATAGTTAGCGAAATAAATTTTTATAAGTGAAGAAATTATTGGAGAAATTATTTGAATTCCTTATATAAAAATACATTAAATAGTGTAGTCATTTGTGAGGACTCATAAAAAAATATGGCCATGCGAAATTTTTGTCGAAATTACTTTTTTCAAATATATAATTTAGACACCTATGCATACAATATATACATACTCATGATAATTATATTCAAAATTTTAGGCATTGTGAGACCACAAGTCAATACAGATGTAAGAAATTTGAATTCAACAGGTAGCAGTCCTAATACACTATCAACATCTCCAAACACGGGTGCTTCTTTAACACCTAATAGCTTGAGGAGTCAATCAAAGTCACCCACAAACTTGGGACTCTCACCTACAAATTTGGGACTATCACCTACAAACTTGGGACTCTCACCAACAAACTTGAGTCACTCACCTACAAACTTGAGTCACTCACCTACAAACATGGGACATTCACCTACGAACCTGGGAAATTCACGCACTGGTCCGTTTAAACCAGGGTTACCGACAAAACCGAATCAACATCTCGGTTCACAAAATGGACGATCGCAAACCTTTGATGTTCAACGTGATGTTCATCGTGATTCCGGAGAATATGACTATAAACCTGCCAGTAACAATTATAATCAAGTACAAGATCGAATAAGTGACCCGTCATCTTCTAGTTCTATAAATCGTGTACAATTCATGTCATCTCTTAAACGTTCTAATTCGATAAGCTCTTTGAAATCGGTTGCCAGTATTGCAGTAATGAGAGAGACAATCTATGAATCACCTCCTTGTAAAATATTCTGTTGGATTAATGGCAGCTGGAGTCCTTTGACAACAAAAGATATATGTGCAGTAGAAGTACGAGTAACAACTATGAATAAAGGTTGTTGGGCTATTTTATTAAAAAACAGTAACCGTATGGTACTTAACGCTTGGATTCATCCTAATACTACGATAAACAGAGATTCAGAAACTAATGTTAGCATTTCATGTGACATGGGATTGAACAAAGAATTTTATCGTGTTTCAATGCCAACACCTGAAGATGCAGATCGATTCCTTGCAAATTTACATAAAGTTAAGCAATTACCTGTAGAGAATCCCAATCTCTTATCACCACAAGGATTATTGAAATCTCGTTCATCATCATTACAATCATTAAAACAAAATGATAGTCGTGAAGTTGGAAAATCCCTGACATTAGCAATGGAATGCCGATGTAGAGTATTTTTACAAAATGATCATGGAATATGGACAAATCTTGGATGGGGAAATATGAAATTAGAAATTGAATCTCCATCACAACGAAAGAAAATACTAATAAATAGTGAGAAGCAGAACAAGAAATTGGTTGATTCAGTTGTTCGAGAAGATGGTGTAGAACGAGTTGGCAGAGCTGGCGTAGCTATTACTTTGAACAATGTAGATAAAACGAATAATAGAAGAATTATTTATATGATGCAAATGAAAGAGGAAGCTACAGCTGTGAAAGCTTTTGGAATTATGAAACAAGGAAATAGATAAGATTTGTGGAATTCTAACTTTTTTTTTTTTTAACAAAATTTTTTTAACTTGACATTTTCTTTGTACATAAAGCTGTCGGACTATATAGAAGTATAGAACAGTTACATTCTTTTAGTATAGAAGCTTCTCTTTAATTCATAGATCTACCTATTTAGAACTGTATTATCATCAATTTAGAGCTAAACGACAAGTTCATCATTTTTCTGGCTCGGTTTTGTCTTTTCTCGAGTAAGAGCAAATATTTATTCAGATAGGTATAGTCGCTTGGTTATGGATTTTAAATCTTATTAGTAGTATTATGTCCCTGGTGGGCGTCACAGGTTAATTTGTTTTAAATGCCATGTAATGACAAGTGAAATTTGTTCACTTTTTATTTTAACAGTTAATACATATACAACAAATAAAAAAACACTTAAATATACAGTCAGATCTCATTATGTCACTCTCGTTATAGTCGCGATCTTGCATTATAAAGCATATAACCGATATAAACTTTGACTTTTATGTATTCCCAACTTGTGATTATATCGAGATCTGACAGTATAGAAGAGCGGAATTCGTCAATTAATTATGATAATGACTACATAAATTAATATTTCTTCAACCTGCACTATTCGCGTAAACGCGCATTGCCTAAGAATGACAAAGAAAAAATATTTTCACGGTTTAGGACATGCGATGTTTATGATGGGTATATTGTACGGGGGTATTTTGTATGGACATATATAAGTGATGCAGAAATCAAAAATATCATGCAAAGCATCCTGGTATTATCCCTGGTTAAAAAATATGCCATGTAAATACCCAGGTATTTAACTGGGAGTATTTCAGTGCACTACGGTAATTTTCCTCGAGTCCGATTGATGTATTACATCCGTTAAAGTTTGAAGGGAATGTTATCCTGCTTAAACTAGTTAGTTTATGCTTAAACCCCTTGAAACACTGTTTCAAAGCAGATATGTCGTGCTTGAAGTTAGCATCTGCTTGAAGTTAAAGCCTGCCTAAAATTTTTAACTAATAATGCATGCAAGAAGATCTAATTTCAGAGCTAATTTTAATCAAGCAAATAGTGCTTCAGCCAATTTTTCAAAAAATCTGCTTAGTCAATTTTATTAAAAATTACAGAATACAGATGATGATTACCTGTGGTAGAAATTAGCAAATTCCTTACATTTATATTAAATATAATTTTCTATACTATAGTTTTGTATTAATAAAAACTTACTTAGCATCAAAGTTTAGATATAACCTATCTAAGCAGCCAATTTGCTTTATATTAAATTCTCAACTTTCTGAGAATTTGGATTCCTTGATCATTAGTTAAAAGTTGCCAATTTTGTTAAAATTATTAGAAAGACTAGATAGGCTTAATATAATATTTAATTAGGTTTTAATATTTTCTTATTAGATTTAGAATTTGCTTTTTTTAGATCTGTCTTCTTTTTCTTTTTCTGTAATTTTAGTTTTTTTATCTTTAAACTTTTGTACAAAGTTTTTCTCTTTTTTTTTTTTGGTTTAATTTGCAATTTTGTTTTTTTTTCTAATTATTAACTAGTATATATTTGAAGTTTTAAACATGCTTCTAAAACTTTTATTAAACCTTTTTTAGATCATATTAAGCATTTTTTGTAGTATATTTTTATCTCTTATCCCCTGGCCAATCTTATCCACATGATACTTTTTATATACTTATTTCTACTAGTATACATTATTAATTACTTATTTTTACAGGGGTGTGGCGACTTAGTGAAATGGTCAAGTTGTCGCCCCCAAGTGGCACATCCAGAGTTCAATTCCCACCGACGACAAAAAATTGAATTCTTCTGTGCATTGATGACTATTTCAGGTGTTGGGATGGAGATCCTGTAACGACGATCAGACCAAATAGGTGCAAGGGGTAATGATCGCCTAACGGACGGCTTATCTCGCAAGCCCTAATCGGGGTAGTAGTACAGACTTGAAAGATCTTGGGGCATTTGTGCAATAGAGGAGTTACACGAAGGGATACAAACTGATAAAAGGTAATGTAAACCCATGATAAGTCCCCGGGACCTGTGTAAATCTGTTGGACTTTGTCCTGAATAGGAATCTGCTTGGCAAGTCCCAAGTAGAGAGGTAGCACTACTTTCGATGGTTCTGGAAAGTCTGAGAAGAGAACCAATAAGCTGTGGATCTAGACGAGGACCGGGTGTTTGGCAAGCACTATACCAACCAGGCCACCAGAATCGACTAGAGGAAAAGGGCACAGGCCGGTATCTGGGTTAAGCCAATAGGAAAGCAGATAATGTAACTTGTGGACCAAACCGGGCTATCTGGATTGGAAGTTTGGTAAAACAGTGGAAGGGTTCCTGATTGGACGAGTAAGGGGCTGGGGTAGAGTGAACTCTATAAGGGCAGAAGTAGGTAACGGTAGTGGCTTCGGCTCGCAAGTACTTGTTCTCAGACTAGACGTAAGTTACTGAAGCCTAGGTCAGCCTAAATGTACGTATGGAAGGCTCTAGCAGGTTTACCTTGAGGTCAAAGGACTCTCTAAAATGGTAGAGACTGCTTTAAAGCTCTAAGCCAGCATGTGAAAATAAGGTGGTACTAAGTATCATCGCTTGAATATAAAAGGATTGATACATAGGTGCAGAGGGTTTAAATGGGTAACCCCCTAGTAGGGTGCAGGTACAGCATCTAGTGTAGAACCTGATGATAGGCAGACTACTTAAATAGGTGCTCAAAAGGCACAGGTATGGCTAGTTGTACCCAACAAATATGTACAGCCGTCAGGATATCTGATGGTTAAAAATACTACTAATATTCAAATAAAGAGCAGCGTGGCAAAGAGGTCACCTTAAAACCAAAAAAAAAATTACTTATTTTTACTAACATATATCATTTAAACCCCTCTGTAATGCAACTCTACTTGTATCACCAGTATAACCCTAATTTTAGTTAGCATTAGGTTTTTGGAGGATCTGAACATTTTTACTTAGTATCCCTGAGAGGTGTTAGCTAGTACATTTTTGAGATATAGCTTCCTAGTGAACTTTACCAATGGTGAAAATTAGCAATTCTTTTTTATTTTTATTTTTTTTATTTTTATTTTTATTTTTTTTATTTTTTATTTTTTATTTTTTTTATTTTTATCTTTTTTATTTTTAATTTTTTTATTTTTATTTTTTTATTTTTTATTTTTATTTTTTTTTATTTTTTATTTTTATTTTTTTTATTTTTATTTTTTTTTATTTTTTATTTTTATTTTTTTTTATTTTTTATTTTTATTTTTTTTTATTTTTTATTTTTATTTTTTTATTTTATACTGTTGGCCCTCTCAAAACCAGTATGTATAATGGACAGCAGTGTTTAAAATTGGCTTGCACAAGGTGTACATATGCAAAAGCTTTTTTTAATGTGCAAGTATTTTGTAAAATATATATACAATATGTGCAAGTAAAATTTTAAAAAAATTGCACTAAGTTTATATAATACATATGTTGTATTTGAAGTGTCTTCTATCTAAAGTTGTAGCTTTAAATATCTAAAGTAGCACTTGACTAGAATTACATACATAAAGATCTAATTTCAGAGGCTTAATTCTAGTTAGATGCTACTTTAGATATCTGAAGTTGCAACTTCAGATAAATTATGACTTCAGATATAATATATATATATTTTTACAAAAATTGTAGTTATACAAACAAAAACTTTTTTGCTTGTAATTGTGCAAGTAAAATTTTTTTTTACTTGCACAGTTGCAAGTAATTTTTGTTCTGAATTTTAAACACTGGTGGATGGGTTCTGTATCAGTTTTGGGAGGTTATCAGATTTGAAAAAATCTCATGATAAATAATCAGAAATCAGCCAATAAACAATTTTTATCGAATTTGATCAGAAAAACTTCACTCAAAGGTTTAAAAATTCAAAAGTGCTTAAATTATTAAGGTTATATAAAAATGATTTTTCATTTTGCATTAAATAACATTTGAAATTTCGGAGGTTTTTTAATCTATATAGCAAAGTCTTTAATTTCTAAGGCTTTCTTGAAAAAGCATTTTATTTGTTCAGATGATTTCAAGTTCATTAACTTTTAAATCAATTAGATCATAAGGCATTATAAAACTATATTGAATTTAACCCTATCGGTAGCTTACAAAATATAAGAATGACTTGTAAATGTAATGGCTATGTACTAATCCGTTATCCATTTTAAAATTTAAAAATTAGTGTATATTAATAAAATCTTTATACCTTCCTGAAATAATACAAATCCAATTGATAAAAATCGGTTAAAAATGGAAATACTAATAGAATAATTTATCTTTATGTTAAAGATTTTTATCAGTATGAAACTAGAAAAGACATTGAAAGACATTCTTAAAATAGACCCAGAATTTACGTAAAACTAATAGTATGTAATTTAAAAAATAATTTGTGCAAGGTGTCTAGCAAATTGTAAACTTTTAGGTCCAATGCTAAGTTGAAACTGCTAATTAAAAGAGATGGGCTAGGTGCTGAGAAAAGGGACCAAATTAACAAAAAAAAGATCTTCAAAAAATCAATTTTTATGTTATAAACCTTATAATAAGTTATAAAAAAAATATAAAATTTAAAGAGCTATACTGTAAAATTTTATTAATATAACTACTTATATGTTTTAAGTGAAAAATGATCCTAATCTAAATTAATTTATATAAAAAAATTACTTTTGAAAAAAATGTCAATTTGGTCTCTTTTTTCAGCACCTAGCCCAGATAATCATTTATAGCCCATTGTTGTTAATCAAACAAGCAAAAATGATCTATATTATGGAACAAAAACATGATTTATTAGAGCAGTGTAACTAATAATATTTAAAAAAAAGATTGACAATCTTATAATTTTTAGCATTTGTTTAAACCAAAATGAAGAATAATTTTGTCATCCTTAAATATGTTGTATATTATTTTTTTGGATCTTCTTTGCAATCACTGTAGTATTAGGCATTATCATGTATTATTGATGCTAAGTACAATTTT